CCCTCTGTGCTTCTCCTTGGCTAGCAAAGCACTGAACCTTCTTTTTCTCAAAAACGCATTCTCATCCTTGACTTGGCATGGGGACAAGGACTGAGCTTTTAGGTAACATAGGACAGCTAAAATATCCCAATATAATATTTGTATAGTTAACAAAGCAGATGTATCTATACAGTTTTATTCGACCCTTAACAAAGAGCTGAAATAGGTAAAAAATAGATTAACATATGCTTGTACTTTATAGTTTGCTAAAGCCATTCTTTCGGTTGATGGTTTATATCTTCAACATTCTTATTTTGTTCTCCAGACTACTTCTGGTATCCCCATCACTTAACAGTTCAGCGTCATTCTTCTTTTTATTTCCCTCAATCGAGACTATTCTTTCCTTTATCCACAGAGAATGTTCTTCCTTGAAGTCACCTTTAAAACTCTATTGGAGCCTGACAGACGCGACCACGCAGCAGATACCGCTCTCCAGCCCACCCGCGACACTACCTCTGACAAGATGCTGCCCCGGAAGCTCCCAGCCCACCTGGCCCCGCCCACGCCTGCGGCCGCCGGAGTTCAAAGTCCCCGCCCCCTCCGAGGAGTTTCCCAAAGCCCCGCGCGGCAGGTCGGCCGCCCTAAGATGGCGACTCCCATGCACCGGCTGATAGCACGGAGACAAGCGTAAGTGAACAGACGATTCGGGACTCCACGCGGAGTGTGGGCGGGGAGACGCGCGTCGCCTGGCCAGTGAGAGGGCGCCGGGATGTAGGGCCGGCGTTGGGTCCCCTGTAGGGACTGGCGGAAGATGGCTGTGTCTCAAAAATGTTCCTTGCCCCTGAGGGACTCGGCCGACGGATAAGTTTAGTGACCACTGGCGAGTTTTTTCGCAGAAGACGGTCGCTTTTTAAGGTCCGGGGACGCGATCAAAGCTGCAGTAAGCTGGCGCCTTTGGTTTTACCTTAGAAAACGCCCAGAATTGATTATTTGGTGGCTTAGACCCCTCTACTTACTCCACGCGTGGCCAGGAGAAGCCTGAAAGCCCTGGTCCTACCCCTTCGCTCCGGCCGACGTAAACTTCAGCTTCTTATGCAACCTCCAGCCCAGCTGGCTTTTCCTGCCTCTTTTCAGTTGCCTTTCCTAGAAACAGCCATCCTACAACGCCAACTCTTTAACCAAGCTATCTTCCCGCTTTCTGTCATTCATTCTCCCCTTAAATAAAAATTTATGTATTGTCTACCCTTGTATGCCAGAGTTTGAATATAAAGAAAAAGAGATGTGCAGCCTTCAGGTAGCTTACATTCTAGTGGTGGAATCTGTTTATAAACAAATACAATTTCAGTTTATACAACTGGTGATAAGATCTTTGCAGGAAATAAGATGTGATGGAAAAAGGGAAAGGCCCACGGTAGGTTGGGTGGTTGAAAGGCATCTTTGAGGAGGTAGCATTTGAAGAGATATTGAAAGGGCGAGAAAGGAACCAATAACAAAGGGATTTGGAGAAAGCAGAGCCTGAGAGTGACATAATTGCTTTGAGGCCTGAAAAAAGATTTTAAGAACTGAAAGATGGCAGTGTGCCTAACGATCTAGAGAGAGTGGCACAACAGATTTGCAAAGGACAGATAATATGGGGATCATCTCAGCTTCCTCTTTTTCTACCATCCTGAACACTCAAAACATTTGCCACATTTTTGTTCTTGCAGTATTTTATGTCATCACTGTTTGCATGTTTGTAATGTAGACACTAGCTAGCATATGTGTGTGTAAATATATATGTAATTATGTATATATTTCTCTTTTTTTTTTTTTTAAAGAACCCCACTCTTTTTCTTCTCTCTAAACTCCATCTTAGGTCTGGTGAGAAGATTTCCTTGGGCGCAAGGATAAAGACATGGGGAGACAAAGAGTAGTAAGCTTGGAGAAAGAAGGCTTTGGTTTTTTTTGTTGTTGTTTTGGTTTGGTTTGGTTTTGGGTACCAAGGATTGAAACCAAGGGCACTCACTGGACCACTGAGCCACATCCATAGCAGTATTTTTTGTTTTGTATTTAGAGACAGGGTCTCACTGAGTTGCTTAGCTCCTCTTTTGCTGAGGCTGCCTTTGAACTCTCCAGTCTTCAGCCTCCCATGCTGCTGGGATTATAGGAGAGCACCACTGCACCCAGCTGTTCCTTTGTTTTTTGAGGCAATCTCTTACTATGTTGTCCAGGCTGTTCTCAGATTCTTGGACTCAAGGGATGACCCCAGCTCAGCCTCCCAAAAACTAGAACTGTAGGTGCTCATGCATGGCTTGGAAGAAGGCTTTGCATTCAGATGGTTCTTTGGTGTTTTGTTTGTTTGGGTGGTACTGGGGATTGAACCCAGGGTTTGGTGCATTGGAACATTGTGTCCCGGAGCTACATTCCCAGTTCTAAAGTCAGACAGTTATGAGATCAAGAATGGTAAGGGCTGGGGTTGTGGCTCAGTGGTAGAGTGCTCGCCTAGTATGAATGAGGCACTGGGTTTGATCCTCAGCACCACATAAATATAAAGATATTGTGTCAACCTAAAAATAAATATTTAAAAAAACGAATGGTAAGATGAAATACTTTAGTAGAAGTGCTAAATTCTAGTACTAGGATCCCATCCCTTTCCCCCTCAGACTTGTTCTTTTTTATTGTTGTTCTTTTTTGGTATACATAACAGTGACTGGGGATATAGCTCAGTTGGTAGAGTGCTTGCCTTGCATGCACAGGGCCCTGGGTTTGATCCCTAGCACCAAAGGGAGGGAAAAAAAAAAAAAATAGATAGATATACATGACAGTAGAGTGTATTTTGACATGTTATACATATATGAAGTATAACTTATTATAATTAGGATGCCATTCTTGTAATGGAAGATGATGTGGAATTTCACTGGTTGTGTATTCATATATGAACATAGGAAAGTTATGTCGGATTCATTCTACTGCCTTTCTTATTCCCACTCCCTCCTTCTCTCCATTCCCCTTTGTCTAATCCAATGAATTTCTGTTCTTCTCTCCTCTCCTTTATTGTGTTAGCATCCACATATTAGGGAGAACATTCAGCGTTTGGTTTTGGGGGATTGGCTTATTTCACTTAATTTGATAGTCTCTAGTTTCATCCATTTACCAGCAAGTTCCATAATTTTATTCTTTTTTTAAAATATTTTTTTAGTTGTAGATGGACACATATCTTTATTTTATTTATTTCTTTTTATGTGGTGCTAAGGATCGAACCCAGTGCCTCATGCATGCAAGGCAAGTGCTCTACCGCTGAGCTACAACCCCAGCCCCATAATTTTATTTTTTATGGCTGAGTAATATTCCATTGTGTCTATATACCACATTTTCTTTATCTGTTCATCTGTTGATGGGCGCCTGGGTTGGTTCCATAGCTTAGCTATTGTGAATTGAGTTGCTATAAAACATTGAAGTGGCTATATCACTGTAGTATGCTGATTTTAAGTCCTTTGGGTATATACTGAAGAGTGGGATAATTGGGTCAAATGGCGGTTCCATTCCAGGTTTTCTAAAGAATCTCCATACTGCTTTCCAAAGTGATTGCACCAATTTGCAGCCCCACCACCAATGTATGATTGTACCTTTCCCCCTACATCCTCCCCAACATTTATTGTTGCCTGTATTCTTGATGACTGCCATTCTGACTGGAACGAGATGTAATCCCAGTGTAGTTTTAATTTGCATTTCGTTAATTGTTAGAGATGTTGAACATTTTTTCATATTATTTGTTGACCACTTGTGTTTCTTCTGTAAAGTGCCTTTTCAGTTATTTGTCCATTTGTTGATTGTGGTATTTGTTTTGTTGTTGTAAAGTTATTTGAGTTCTTTATGTATCCTGGATATTAATGCTCTATCTGAGATGGAAGTGGTAAAGATTTTCTCTCATTCTATAGGCTCTTTTTTCCGTTACTGATTGTTTCCTTTGCTGTGAAGAAGCTTTTTTGTTTGATACCATCCCATATATTGATTCTTAATTTTACTTCTTGTGCTTTAGGAGTCTTGTTGAGAAATTCCTTTCCTAAGCTGACATGATGGAGATTTGGGCCTACAATTTTTTCTAGAAGGCACAGGGTCTCTGGTCTAATGTCAGTCTTGCCCTTTTGAGTGTTGGCTCCATACTTGAATAAGCTGCTTATTTTTGTTTAAGGTTGCCTGCAGTGTCTAGGGTCCTTTAGATCCACTTCAAGTTGATTACACTTCATTGGTCTAAATTGGATTATACACGCCCAACCCTGACTACAGGTTTATGGAAACCATGATTGTTTTAGAGATCTTCTTTTCTTTCTTTCTTTTTTTTTTAAATTGATTTAATTTTTTAAATACATGACAGTAGAATGCATTACAATTCTTATTACACATATAGAGCACAATTTTTCATCTCTGTATATAAAGTATGTTCAATTAATTCATGTCTTCATACATGTACTTTGGATATTGATGTCAATGACATTCCACCATCATTGCTAACCCCCTGCCCCCTCTCTTCCCCTCCCACCCCTCTGCCCTATCTAGAGTTCATCTGTTCCTCCCATGCTCCCCCTCCCTACCCCACTATGAATCAGCCTCCTTATATCAGAGAAAACATTTGGCATTTGTCTTTTTGGGATTGGCTAACTTCACTTAGCATTATAGAGATCTTATTTTCCTTCCAGCACAATTGAGTGGGTGCTCATAACCATTGATGAGCTGGGTGATAGGTTACAGGTCAGTGAACGCTGGAATGACAACCAAATGTTCCCTGTAAGTATGAAATGGAAATAAGATTTTTAGTCTAAGTGATATTTCTTGTTTCAGAAGTATTAGAAAGTTAAACAAATGTGCTGTTTCTATAGTGTGCATATTTTTCATACATGAGCTACACAGAAGTAAGAAATAAATCTGACCCTTAGGAGCTTTTGGTATTGTTGGAAAAAAAACATATAGAGTATAATAAACTCTATAATGGTTGCTGTGTATTTAGGGATTCAGATAAGGAGGTCTTTAAAGATTGGAGGAGTCCAGAAGAGTTTTAGGGACATATTTGGGGGAAGTAAGAGGAAAGCCTTGTTTTTTGTTTTTGGTACCAGGGATTAAACCCGAGGGTGCTTAACCACTGAGCCACATCCCCAGTTCTTTTTAAAAATATTTTATTTAGAGTTTCTTAGGGCCTCACTAAATTGCTGAAGCTGGCTTTGAACTTGATCCTCCTGCTTCAGCCTCCTGAGCCCCTTGGATTACAGGTGTGCACCATGGCACCCAGCTTTTTGTTGTGGTTGTTTTGTATTTTTTGTCTTTATTTTTTAGTACCAGGGATGGCACCCAGGGGCACTTAACCACTGAGCCACATCCTCAGCCCTTTTTTAATATGTTTTATTTTGAGACAGGGTCTTGCTAAGTTGATGAGACTGGCTCTGAATTGGCAGTCCTTCTGCCTCAGCCTCCAAGCCTCTGGGATTCAAGCATGTGTTACCACATCTGGAAAGCCTTTACTTTTCATTTTATATTTATCAAGAAGGTTTAATTTTGCTGGGCATGGTATAGTATATGCCTATAATCCTAAAAATTTGGGAGGTTGAAACAGGAGGATCAAAAGTTCAAGGCCAGCCTCAGCAATTTAGTGAGGCCCTCAACAGCAAGACCCTGCCTCAAAACTTAAATAAGATAGAAAGGACTGAGGCTGTAGC